CCCCCACACACACAGACGCCTTCCCTTCCTCCATAGGCCACATCTCCTAAAGGTTCCACAACTCCAAAAAATAGTGCTACCAGTTGGGGACCAAGTATTCAAACAGTGGTCCTTTGTGGGGTTCGAAGCCCTAATGGGGAGACAACTAGGGGACATTTGAACACCCTACAATTGGCCACCCAAATGGAGTACACAAAAAAGAAAAACCTAAGGGGCACAAGCCCTACATATACGGCCACTTTTCCTGTTCTCTGGTCCTTCCAAAGCCTACTGCATCCTCAGAGCTCAAAGCCCAACCCAAAGTTCAGCAGTCTGTCAGTGTGCTTGCAGACTGCAAACAGAAGCCTTGAGGTTAAGCCCTACCCTATAGCTAGGTTTGACCCTTGCCTTCCAGGCACACTGTGATTCTAACACAGTCCAGGCCTCATCCTGCACTGGGGCACCCATCCTCAGCAATCTCCTACATCTAAAGAACTTACTATATTTTAAAAACTATCTCACACTTTCCTCTTTTGAAGCATATCCAAGCACTTGGGTCTTGATCCAAGTGGGTTCTCCCACTCCTCCCATGATCTGCTGGGCTCTGGGAACTCTATCACAAGTATGCATTCACACTGGCCTGAAATGTCTTTCAGACTTTCTCTCTAATAGGTCTAGCTCTTCAAGCAAAGAAATTGTCTCCATCTCCTCCTCCCCCTCCCCCTCTTCCTCCCCTAATTTTTGCTGAGATCGATGGAATTCTCAAATCATTAGATATTCCTAAAAAGTTACCAAATAAAGGTTTGTTTATGGCATTACCCTTGAAGTCCTCTAAACCTAGCCCAGAGCCCCAACCAGACAGGAGCACAGAGAAGATAGAAACGGCATCTATTCTCTGATGCATCCACCACATTCTTCCTGCCTTGCTCATTTGCCTACATCTAAGCAACATCCTCTCAGAGCCCCAGACCCTATCCTCAGAGTTCCTGGTGGGCTGCATCTCACCTCCCATTGTCCTGTGAGGATAAGGGCCACCTCCTCTACTCTACTACTACTGTCCCCAAGCCCAGAGCGCCACATGTGGTGGGGAGGAAGACATGAACAGATGCTCCTTAACAGCAGGCTGTGTGCTGCTGCAGGGAAAGGGGCATTCAAAGAGCAGCCCTTGCTGAACCTACATTGTCGAGTCCTCAAACACTTAACTTTCAGTCTGCTGAGTCATTAAACATTAGGCTCAGCATGGTCAGGCCAGGGTTCTTTGCTTGGCCAAACTCTGGCCCCATCTGAACTGGGCCTTAACTCTGGCCTCATCCTTGACCTACTAACCTTAATTTTTAGCAAGCTATCCTACCCTTGATACCCACCAGAGGATCTTTTCTTACTTTGCAATAGTTTCTTTGGTGATCAACTTGCCTGGATCATAGGACTGCCCAGGGATTTGGTTAACCATAGTTAGGAGGTATGCCAGGTATGCCTGTGAGGGTGTCTCAGAAAGAAATTAGCATTTAAACTGGGAACTAGTAAAGATGATCACCCTCCCCAACACATCAAGCATCATCCAACCCACTGAATTCAGACAAAAAAGGTCCGAGAGGGGAGATTTCATGGGTCTGCTCACTATTGAACTGGAACTTCAGCTGCTTCAGGCATTATGTGTCTTGGGCATTCAGACTCGGACTAGAACATACCCCATGAGCCCTCCAAACTCCCAGGACTTCCAGCTCCGCCCTGAGTTCCAGAGAACAGATGGTGGACTTCTCAGCTTCTACCATCATGTGAGCCAATACTTTAAAATAATTCTCATCGTATATATGTTTTCTATCTGTGTTCTGTTAGTCTAATTTATAGGGCTCTATCTGGACAGCCTAAAAGGGTAAGGGGGAAATTTTCTTCCTCTCCTGTTTCTTTTACATTCTGAGAGCACTGGATGCAGCTCAGGGTACCATGAGGGGGTGGAAGACAGCAGGGAAGAAGGGGGAGAGAAAGAGAAAGGAGGAGGGAGGTGGTGAGAAAGAAGGGAAGGGAAGGAGAGGGAGAGGAGGAGAGTAGAGGGGAGGGGAGGGGAGGGGAAAGAGGGGGACAAACCTAATAACCTGCAGATGAAGTGTTGCTAGCCTCAGCTCATTTGCATAATGACCTGGGAGCCTTGACAGGCCTCTCCCAGAACAAGCACTGACAATTCAGGGACAAAGAACTTCAGGTGCCTGCAATTGCAGGTTTCTAAAATAAAACCCTGTAATTACTGAACTGATGCAGCCCAACTGTTACCAGGAGAAGCAGAAGTTCACAAGGAAGACACAGCTTTGTTATTCTCCAACTGAAGAATAGTGGTGCTTTATCCAAAAACCTTTCCTGTCACAGCAGGTGTCCCTATGTCTCTATCATAGGCCCCAGGCGGGGGCGGGGGGGGGGGCTAGCCAGAGGTCAAGAGAAGAGCGCACAGCACTTTGCTTAGGTGATGCCTATGAAGATATTCTGGGCTGTACTTAACATCCTTTCTCTAAGAACAGCCCTCTGAGGTCAGAACCCCAGCCCACCCCACCTTTGTTTGTTTGTTTGCTTGCCAGTTTTGGTGTTTTAAGATGGGGTCTCACTAGGTAGCAGGCTCACCTTGCTCAGCTTCCCAAGCTCTGAGAGCATGCCACCACATCCTAGCCCCTTCTTCAGTTCCATAGAACTTCACTCTGTAGAGCATCCAAGGACATCATCTGTGGTATACAGATTCCAGGTTGACTCCCAGCTCCTCCCTAGAAGAAGGCCCAAGAGGGTCCCAGACCAACACCTTTCACAAACCTCCCCCAGTGCATCCATAGCCTTGGAAGAGGGTCATTAAGAAATCTGTGGTAATATTGTATATGTTCTGAGGAGCCCATGTGAAGCTGGAACCAGCCTCCTACAAACACTAGACAGACCTGAAGTCCCCCCGGCAGTGTTCCTGCCTTCTCACCTGTCTCCCTAACATTCTCTCTCATCCTTCATCCAAATATGCAAGCTACTCAGGATACAGAACATGGAGGCCCCTGTCATCTCTGATGCCAAGGAAAAAAGGGTCAAGGATTCGGGCCATGGGACCCTGGGCTGCTCAAGAGGAGCTCTGCAGAGATGCTTTAGAATAAAAGTGGCACGCTGCAGCTGGGAGGGTCAGGGGGCTTTGCTGGCATCTACTCTAATCTGCTATGATCATGTGGGATGCCTACTTTACTGTTGGTCCTCACCAGGATCCCCCAACACAGCATTAAGGATGTCCTACAACCTGCCTCCTGATAGCTCTCCTCCCTGTGTGAATCTCACTGAGGACATGACCCAGCAACTTCCTGAAGGTCCTCAGTCAGTTACATCCATCTGCCACAAAGTCATCCAGATGGAAAGCAGCAAGCACCCAAGTCCTGGGGGCCATGATGAAGCCAGTGCTTTGAAAAGACCCTAATAGGATCATGGAAACAGTAGAAAAATGTCTTGGATATAGGCATCAGGAAGTATTTTCTTGAAAGGATTCCAGTAGTATAGGAAAAAATAAAATGAATAATTGGTAAGGGCTTCTGTGCGTGCTGGAGACATAGCTTAGCAGTGAAGAACACTTACTGCTCTTGCAGAAAACCTGAATTCATTTCCCAGTACCCATACAACAGTTCACAACTGCCTGTAACTCCAGCTCCAGGGGATCTGATGCTAGTATTTATAGAGCATGAATGTGCTTTGCAGGCCACTGGGAGGAGAAAGGCCATCAGCTGTGGACCCTGCATGTTACCATATTGACCTGCCAAGCAAGGTATGCCCACTAATGCAATAGTGGCATGACTGTTTGAAGAGCTAACGAACCACCTTCTGATTAGATTTGAGGTCCGTTCCATGGGAGGGAATCTATACCTGGTACTGCATACCTGGTCAAAGGCCTATGGCTAGGGAAGTCACTAGTGCTGCTCTCAGCCCTGTTCAGAGAAGCTTCTTGCAGTGGGTGACAGTCAGTGCAGACACTCATAACTCATCAAAGTGCTGAAAATAAGTGACCATTGCATGCTCAGCCCTGAACATCTGTATCAATCCAAGGTCTAGGGAACATCATAAAAGAGAGATGAAAAGATTGTAAGAGCTGGAAGATGCGGAAGGAACATTGTGAAATGCTGTCTTCTGCAAATTGTTTGTCCATTGCAATCATGAGGACACAGCAACTATGTCTACCTGCAGAAGAACTGCACAAAAAAAAAAATGTGAAAGCAGGAAGAAAACTAGTTGGGAATAAGAAGAGGGTCAGCAGAAGTGGGAGAGAGAGAGACAGAGAGACAGAGAGACAGAGACAGAGACAGAGAGAAAACAGCAGGGGGTGAATATGATCACAACACTTTGTATACATGAAATTGTCAAAAGTAAAAGAGGTGGAAAGAACCTGTTGGAATGAGTATTCCTCAAGGGATTTGTGTGTGTGTGTGTGTGTGTGTGTGTGTGTGTGTGTGTGCACCAGTGCACGTGCTATATAAAATGGAGGCCAGAGAAGGACACCAGTGTCCTACTCCATCACTCTCCACCTTATTCCCTTAAGACAGGTTCTCTCACTGAACCTCGAGTGAGGCTGGTGGCCAGCAAGCCCCAGTGATCTTTCTGTCTCCACACTCTTTACCCACAGTACTGGGGTTCCAGATATGCACACAATCACTCCTGGCTCTTTAAATGGGTTACATGGATTTTACAGCAAGCACTCTTACCCACTCAGCCATCTCCTCAGCCCTCTTGAAGGGATTTGAATCCCAGCATCTAGTATACCGAATGCTTAGATGTGGGAGCTGCCCAATGAAAGCACATGAATATTATTTTATAAAGAAAACAGTGGTGGCTGGAGAGATGACTCAGTGGTTAAGAGCACTGGCTGTCCTTGCAGAAGATCTGGGTTCAAATCCCAGCACCCACATGGTGATGAACAACCATCCATAACTCCAGGTCCAGGATCTTACGCCCTTTTCTGTCCTCTGCAGGCACTGTACAACATGGGTGCGCTTACATACATGCAGGCATAACAATCATAAACAAAATAAAATTAATTAATAAGAATTTTGTTTGAAAAAGAAAAAGGTGGGCTGGAGAGATGGCTCAGCAGTTGAGAGCACTGACTGCTCTTGCAGAGGACCCGGGTTTGATTCCTATCACCCACATGGTGGCTACGAACTGTCCTTAACTCCAGTTCCAGGGGAATCTGAAGCCCTCTTCTGACCTCCGCGGCATTGTACGACACAGGTGCACTCACTTACATGCAGGCAGTACACTCATATACATAAAATAAAAATAATAATTTTTTTAAAAAGAAAAGGAAAAGGTGAGCATGGCACTGTGCATTTGTAACTCTGGTATGAAGGAAGCAGAGTCAGGATAATCCCTGGGGTCTACTGGCCAGCCATGAGCTCCAGGTTCAGTGAAAGACTCTGTCTCTGGGGCTGGAGAGATGGCTCAGCCATTAAGAGCACTGGCTGTTCTTGCAGAAGTCTAGGGTTTGAATCCCAGCACCCACATGGTGGCTAACAACTGTCTGTAACTCCAGTTCCAGGGGATCCAATGCCCTCTTCTGTCCCCCACAGGCACTGCATGACTTGGGTGCACTAACACACATGTGGGCATAACAGTAATACACATATAATAAAAATAAATAAATCAAAAAAAAAAGAGAAAGCCTTGTCTTAAAACGTAAAATAGAGAGCACTCAATATGGCCTCCATACACTTACACACATACATGCATACATATGCATGTATCCTACACACAAATGTGCATGTATACACACACCCATGCACATCAAAAATAATACATAAAACAAAAATTCTAAAAACTGTTCAACATCCTTAGCCATCAGGGAAATGCAACTATGCAGGAAGATGGGGGTGTGGTACAAATGCAAGTAAGTATCCATGAAAATGTCATAAGGAAGTCTATCCCCTTTGCATGCTAATTAAAAATAAAGATTTCATCATGCTTCTCAGAAGAGCATGTGATCTAAATTTTATGAATTGTTTAAAGTCATGCAAATTTTTCACTTATTATTTGGGGGCCTTATTGAGGTGTGTAACTGAAGCCATAGTTGAGCAAACTGCAGGTGAAGAGGACTACTCTACTCCAACAGAGGACCTGGCCACAGCTTCCTCCTCTTGCCTTTTCTTTTCTCCCTACCCCATCTCCTGCCCCATCGCATCTCTTCCTAAGAAACATCCTCTTCCATGCTCATCACCAACACTCACTACTGACCACTACATAGAGCAGCACAGGAAAGCTGCCTCGTACTGAGACACTCTAACCTGAGAGGCTGTGGATGTCAAGTTTCAGCTGGAACTTGCAGAGAACTGGAAAAACTCCATCTTAAAAAAAAAAAAAAAAAAAAAAAAAAAAAAAAGCATGAACAGACAGGTGGCACACTCATTCCTTCTCCAGAAAGAGGTGTAGGACAAACAGCCTGAAATCCATAGCAAGGCCCATGTTAGGGAGGTGCAGGACCAGGCCCTGCTTTTCCTGTATAAGGACTCCAAACATGCTGTGGAAACAAGCATGATTAAACCAAGAATGTTTTAAACTGCTCAAAATCAGGAAAAAAAATTTTAATTGCTTGGGGCTGAAGAGTTAAGAGCAGTGACTGCTCTTGCAGAGGAGCCAGGTTCGATTCCCAGCACCCACATAGCGGCTACAAACCGTCCTTAACTCCAGTCCCAGGGGAATCCAAAGCCCTCTTCTGACCTCCACGGCATTGCACGACACGGGTGCACTCACATACATGCAGGCAATACATTCATACACACGTAAAATAAAAATAATAAAAAATATTTTAGAAAATAAAAAATAAAAATTTTAATTGCTCGAAGTGTGAGCTAGTATGAGTCTGAGGAGTCCTCACACTCATAGGTGGGGTGCAAACACATCCTTCCTTCAGGAGTTTCCTTCCAGAACCCCAGAAGATACCCACAGAGAAGGCAAGAGAAGTGAGGACAGTCCTGGGAACCAAATCCAACAATGGCCAACTGGGAGGAGAGAGTAGCCATTGACAAACTCCACCCATATACCTCCTTTCTCTTCCCTGAGGTGTAAAAACCTTAATTAGCTTGAGAAGTGCATCAAATCTACAGCTGGGAGAGGAAAATGGAGGAAAAACACTTTAGCACACAGAGGAGGTGAAAAGAGTAAGGCCTGGTGGATGACTGGCAGAAAGCTGATCAGTTCCGAGTATCTGGTAGACCAGGTTACCACAGAAGCCACAACCTTAACTCTCTGACTCCTGAATAGGTAGCACCTACAGAACTTAACATGTGGTCTGTCTCTAAACTTAAAAACTATAGACCTCATTATCTACTATCCTATATAATGTCTGGTTTCAACCAGAAATACCAAGACAAGAAAAAACAAAGACACAAAGACAGCATCAGAAGACATAGCCAAAGGTAAGATCCAGTGAACTCGAAGATAGCAAATAGGAATCACTTGCCCTGAAATGCTAGAATGGCCGGCAGAGGCTCAGAGCAGATGACACTAGAGTTTTTGGAAGCTGGGCCCACCACGTGCCCATCAGCCACATCCTGAAGAGACAAAGCATGTGTAGTCTGGAGGTCTACCCTTGGAGTTTTTCAACAGTTCTTCATAGTTTCTGAACAACTTTGCTTTGCAATTGCTCAGTCAGGAGCAATTACTATCCCAGCATGCATTGGATACAGTAGCTTTCCAGTGGTGATACGGCCAACAGCTGCCAGAGTTTTCCTTGATCTGGATAGAGACTGAACAAAATCTGTAACCATCAAAATATTTAACGATAGATTTGGGATATGAGAGCCATAGGATTTAAATAATTTTGACTGTCGTTAAAAATAGAGGTGTGATTTATGCATCGAAATTTCACCAGCTTTTTCTAAATTGCTTTCTCTTGGATATAGAAGTTTTTTCATGATACTATGTTTAGCTACAATAGGACTTGGTTATTGATATTTGTCGTTTTTAAGGATTAAATACCTAGTCAAAAATTGAATTGTCAAAAGTTGACAGATGTCATTTCCCCCATTTAGGGGAGCAGAGAAATCTGGCCTTGGTAAGTTCTGTAACGTGTTTATAGAACTTTCAAAGAGCATTATTAATTAAATTAAAGTTATTAAAAAATAATGGTAAGATGGAACACTATAAAAGTTCAAAACAATTCCTCAAATTCTGTTTTAGATATGCTTACAAGTCAGAAAAATAAAAATAAAAGTTCGTCTCTCCACCAAAAAAAAGCAGCCTAAACATGGAGCTCAGGTTGTCTCTTGGGACCAAGGAAAGGTGGCTAACCCTGACCCTGTCCTTTGGAAATCCCAGCAATCCTCCAATCCCTGCTCACCAGGGACCTCAGAACCATACAACTGTGTAAGCAGAGGAGCAGGGGCACATTAGCAGCAACTAATAATCATAAAATTGTGGCTTTTCAAGGTTCGGAACAGTTGTTTCCACTTCATGATGATGCATGACTACCTGATCCTGGCCCGCTGTGCTCCTCCCTCATGGATTTTAGGAGTTGTCTATACTCAGTCCAGCCAGAATTAATAAGATCCACCGCCCTTGCTGACTACACGTTACAGATATAGGATTGGACACTTACGTTCTTGCCTACACACAAAGCCCAGTACTGCAAAGGGCAGGCTTCCCTCACCAGCACTCAGCCTGCCATACCCATGTGTACTCAGCATCGCCTTCAAAGAAGTCAAAACCTTGGGCAATAAGAGCAAAACAGGGGTTCCTAGGCCTCAGATCACCCTGCCATCCATCCCAAGGCATGCAGGGACTGTGTCCACATAGTAAGGCCCCCGGAGCCCACACCAGCCCAATAACAGTACCGTGTGGCTTTGGTACTCACAGAGCATACCACCACAAAGATGAACAAGCCTGTGACTTTCAGCCACCGCACACAGCGCCTGCAAGAGAAAAGGGAAGCCCTGAGCCATGCACAGTAGCAGCCTGTGCTTGATACGTGCCTGCAGAAGAAAGCAAAAGGTCTATGATGGGTCAATTTGGTTTTTCACTTGTTCGGTTCTTTACGTCTCAGAAAAACATTCTCTTGGTCTTTGAAAATGGTAAAATTTTATTTTGCATTCTCTTAGAATTAATGAATTTGACACATAATCATTTCACACTTCCAAATTTTGTTTCAACAGCTCCTACTTAGTGAGAATTAAAATGGCTTTTCTTTTTAAAGCATGAAGTATTAATTGAGGCATCCTAGATGCAATTTTTTTACATAACTGACATATATGGCAGAGCTGACAATCCAGAATAAAATATTTCTTGCAAATGTCTTCGCTGCTCACACTGCCTTCTAGACACGTCATTAGCCCCTCAACAAGTACTTTGAGGGATAATAATCTATGCATGCAGAAAAAACTGCTGTCCCTTTAAATGACTGTGAACATGCTTCTAAAGTCACTTTAGGTTTCTGATAAGGCCTTTCAGAGAAACTTGTAAGGAACCAGACACTCTCACCCAGGCAAACTAGACCCCAAGAGTAAACTTAGCTCATTATAGTAAGAAATATTTTATTCTTGATTGTCAGCTCTGCATAAGCCACAGGGTGACAACTCCATCACTACACATGGCCCTGTCATGGTCACTCAGGCACTTCAGGGTAGGGCTCAAGTAGGACCACTGGTTTTAACTATCAAGCCTTGGTCTTCCTTGGTGACGGGTTTTCAAACAGTTCGGTCTAAGAACTTTCTCCATATAAAATGTTTGAAGAAGGAGGCCCAGCAGATAAGCTAAGGAAAGTGAACGCACTCTTTTAGGGCAGCACGAATATCCAGAAATTCCTCTGAGCCCTCACACACACATTCCTCCTATGCATTCCCAAGCAGCCTTAAGTGCCCAGTTCTTACCACAGAGGAGGCCAGTGAATCCTATAGGCCTCTCTGCTCACTAACTCAATCCTTCATCAATAACTGTGAAGATAGTAGCAAATTCTGAAGCACCACGGGGACCCCTAAATTGAATGCCCCTGTCTTCATCCCAGGGCAAACAGGAAGCTGAAGGCAGCCAGTATTCACTGCCAGAGCTGTCACTCTACATCCACCTACCCCAGCTTGGAGACTCGGACTCTGAGGAGGCCACTGCCTGGAAGTTCCCCTTCTTCTGAGGAGGCTAATGCAGACAGACTAGCCACCTCTCTGCCCAGCATGTATCTTTGTTCCCAGTCAGTCAAGCCATTTTCCCAGGATTCTTCAGCAGTGATAAACTCTGGGTGGTGAGCAGGCATGCACCGTGACCTGGAAAGCAAAAATTTTGTGCTTATGTCTCCTAAAATGGTACCTTCAAAACAAGATTTTCTCTCAGTTGTGAGGTGTAAAATGCTGTGAAATGAATGCTGGTCTTTTAAAAGAAGTTGTGATAGTTAATACTGATTGCCAGTATTATCTAGGAGACAAATCTCTGGGCATGTCTGTGAGGGAGAGTCTCGACTGGGTTGATTAAAGTGGGAAGACCCACCCAAAATGTGGGACTGGGCTCCCAGACTCAATCTAAAGATGAAAGCAAGCTAAGCACCAGCATTCATCTCTCTCTCCCTGACTGCAGTTGTAATGTGATCAGCTGCCTCACACTCCTGCCACCGTGCCTTCCCCACCATGATGGACTGCATCCCTTAAACTGTGAGCCAAAATAAACCCTCCCTTCTTAGGTTGCTTTTCTCCAGAATTTTGTCAAAGCAATGAGAAAAGTATCTAAGACAGAACCATAAACAACATGTCATTGTCTGACACTTTTGGACATGTGTCTTTATTGACGTTATAAGGCATTTGGCTCAAAGAAATTTTCCTGAGGATGCTCACTCTTCAAAATGAATCATAGCCCTTCAAAAAACACTAAGCACTCTTTTATGATTTGGGGAAACCTCTACTATAGCTGCTTCTGGATCAGACCAGTCCACACTCACTTCATTATTTCCTACTATTTGACTGTTTGTAAACTGTCACTATCTACCAAGATCTGTTACACATGTCCTGAAGCAGACTGACTAGTGTTCAGCTTTTCCTCTTCTATATAGATCATCTTGTGACAAAGCTGCAGGAAAGTAGATAACCTGCCTTTCCCACATGGCAGCCAAGGTAGTACAAGCAGGAATGAACATCAGTGTCAGGCTATGCAGGTTCATAAAGAGGGTCTATGTTTACAAGGGCATGTGGAAAGAAATCATAAACTTTTATTTGTGAGAACCTCTTTTCCCATATGGCTGAATATTTGAGTTTCTGCACAGCTTCTTCAGTATAGGTGCACTTGACTCTTGAAAGGTTATACCAAAAGGAGATGTTGATGTTCATCATGGAATGCTCATGTGATCACAATTTTAATATTAACCACAGCTGGGATCTGTTGTTATACATCAGCTTACTTGGGCTTTATGATTCTCAATACTTATCATTGTTTTAGGACTCCTTGACAACAAGAAAAAATAATCTTGTTCATAAGAAGAGACCAAGGGATAGAAATTAAGTTGTATTAGTTCCCCAGGTAGTGAACCAAAATAACAAGTGGTGTCAAAAACAGTCAATAATATTTTTTTTGGTCTTTTTGAGACAGGGTCTCCCTGTAGCCCCAGCTGTCCTGGAACTCACTATGTAGACCAGGCTGGCTGTGAACTCACAGAGATCCGCCTGCCTCTGCCTCTGGGGTGCTAGGATTAAAGGCGTGCGCCACCACATGGCTGGAAAGTGTTCTGGTCTGAAAAACATATCATCTTCCTCTAAATCGTTTGGAAAAACCACAAGTGCAGCAAAATTGAAGCTAAGAAATTGCTTTCTTTAAGGAGAAAGAAGAAACCAAATTAGCACCTGTGCTGTGAACACGGTGCTTCCTGAGGACTAGAAGTACATGCTGCCTGTCTGCCCTGGCAACCACTTAAGTTTATCAGCCACTTGAAATGTGCAAATGGGGGCTGAAGTTTTCACTTCACTTGGATTGACTCAGATGTGAGTAATCACATGTAATGAGTGACCACATCTTAGCACAGTGTGTAGCACTTTCTGACCTGTGTCATTGCCCTCAGTGCTTTGAAATGATACAGATGCGTCTGTAAAAATACAAAGCAATGAATGCTTTCACAGCAAACTGTTGTTTAGCTTGAAATTCCAACAGAGGAAAAGTCAGTAAAAAGTAAAGTAACCAAAGGACATTCCTGCCACCAACATCTTTTTATTTTAATTTTATTTATCCATTCTTTGAGATTTCATACATGTATACAATTTTGACCATTCCCCACTCCTCTCCCAACTTCATATCTTTTGTTTTCTTTTTAACTCACTGATTCCAATTAGTGTTGCCAGCATGTGCATGAATGTAAGGTTATCCACTAGCACATGGGCAGCCTATAAGAGGCTACATCCCTGAAGAAAACTGACCCAATAGCTCTCAGCTAGGGGCAGAACTTCATGAGCCTCCCCCAGTCCATGCTGGAATGTTGACTGGCTTGATCTTGTGCACGTCTTATGTAGGCAACCTCAGCTGCTGTGAGCTCATGAGTGCAGCTATACTGTCATGTCCAGAAGACTCTTTTTGGCAGCTGTCCTGTTCAACCTCTGGCTCTTACAATCTTTCTGCCCCTCCTCTGCTAGAGTCTCTAGATTTGGGAGGTAGAGGGTACATTATAGTTGTCACATTGGGCTGAGCACTTCAGTCATTCGGCCTGAGCACTTTGACTAGTTCTGAGTTTCTGTGTTAACTGCCGTCCACTGCAATAAGAAGCGAGTTGAGAGCCACATATATATATACATATACATATACATATACATATACATATACATATACATATACGTGTGTGTGTGTGGATAAGTATCTAGAAGGTAGATTGATGCTATGTCCATTCAGCAAAATAGCACTAGTAGGTTCTCCCCAAAGGTGTATGACCATCTCAACCTCAGGTTCTTGGCTAGGTTTACAGTAACAGGTATGTGTTCCTTCCTGTGGAGCAGACCTTAAATTCAATCAGAAAGCTTCCAGTTAACCCATACTATTCACATCACTATTGCACTTATGGTCATATGCTGCCAGGGTGGTCATTATTGCAGCTCACGGGGCTCACAGTTGGATAAGCCCACAACCAATGTCTTAATATACTCTTTGCAGAAGAAGAAAAGGAAAGGATGTTGTAAGCAAAGCTGCTCTGTTCTGCTTCCAACTTGACCTCTGGATGAGCCCAGCTGACACTCAGGTCATATCTCTGTGTGTCACATGCTCAGGACAAATGCTTGTACATTTTTGGTATTTTAATGAATTGCACATTTGAAATGTATCATCCCTTAACAGTTGGCCAATTCAAGAGAAAGCATTAAAGAAACAGGTGTGTGAGGAGTTTGTTTTCAGCTATAGGTTAGAAGAGGAGAGGGAGAATTAAGTTATATTCCCACAAAAAAGCTTTAAAGCTATGAGTCACTGAGACAGCCTGTAAGAACTGGGTACCAGCATGGAGATAGACATATGCTAGGTAATCATTCCAGAGTTGTGCTCAAAGCCATTTGTAAATTCATAAGAATTCACAGAATATAATTACAAATCATGAACATCCACTATAATGTACTGTCAAGGATCTGACAGAGATCAAATATGTCAGGTAAAAATCATATCTCAAGAATTATCCATCTATAGAGCTGACAATACCAATTCACCACAGACAATTTCCAGAGATTTCTTAATAAAAAAGAAAAAAATGTCTTACCCTTTCTTTTGTGAGGAATTCCATAGCAAAGGAGTGTTTTCTTTAAAGCAGAGATCTTTGGAGCTGGAGCTGAATGGAGGCAACGGTGAATGAGACCTGGAAAGACAGGAACAGGTATCAACAAAGCAGCATGACAGGGAGTTGACAGGACTGAAGTGCTCAGTTCAGCCATAAACGTGACAGATCCAAAGGAAATCCAACCAGAGTTGCTGAGCAATGAAAGCTGGAACTTAGGAGAGATGCAGAGAGAACTCTCCTCTCCACCCTGAAGCAGAGCAAAAAGACAAAGCAACTCTCATATGGGAGACCATGACCCAGCAGCCACCTTGACCTTTCCACATAGAGCTTTTGATCCACAAAATATCCAGTCTGATGGGTCTTTTTCTAAGTAGAAAATTCTGTCTCTGCGATGAGGCAATATTCACTAGTAAAATGTCCTAGTGGTTCCCATCAGAAAACAAGGCAGCAGAAGTCAGGGCCAACAGGTTGAAATGAGATGGCATCAGAAGGCTCTCAGGAGACAGTAGCCACAACTGGAACAAAGCAAAGGTCTATCCTGGATGGTATGCCCCTTTGCTATGCTGGCCTGTCCAGCAGAGGAAGGGCCACCATAAATGCATCACCCAAACCAGACACAGCAAAAGCTACCGACATGTGCACATAATGTAAAGGCAGTTTTTCATGAGAATGATTCTCATTCTTAATCACCTTATATACTGGTACATTACCTTTCTTAAGGAGCCCAATCATACAGAGGTGCTATGGACACCATGAAACACTCACCTGGCAGGATAACAGTAACTCTTCAAGATCATAAATGTAGGGATTTGGCAAACATGTTCCAATCACTTTCTCTCAGGCAAGTGTTCACCTGAGACAGAGAGTAAGACTCTAGTCTTAAATTAGGCCCTACAGCTGTGTCTAACAGCACCTACCATAGCTCAAGAATCAGAAAAGTAGTCTTCCTGGAATAATTTGAGCAGCACAGAACGTGTCCTCTGGGCTGACCTGCACCACTTCATACAGAGAATGGCAGAGATGCCTAAGGACTTTGTCCATGAGAACTGTTAAAGACAGTGGAACATCTCAAGACAGGGATGCTGAGTAGCTATCTTGACGTTGACACATCAAGGAGGGAAGGTGGAAAGAGCAGTATTTAATAATTAACCAGGTATTTAATAATTAGCATTCTTTCGCAGCTCAAACTGGCTAAAATCATTAGTTGAGTCTGCTCTCCCATCTCTCAAAACTATGCAGAAGGGCTTCTAAGGCATTTACATAAGTGTCTCCATGTCTCAGTTAGTACCAAGTTGCTCAGTGTTGCTGCCTGAGGTGGTTATACAGTATCTCTGAGAGAGATGACTTTTGCTGGGACTTTATTCAAATAATCTAACTGCTCTGTGCTTCCATTTTCTCAGTAATGTTATATACATGAAAAGAAACACACCGGCACATATATATATATATATATACATAAATGCACACACCTACATACACATGCACATACACACAAACACACACACATATACACACACATTCAGTTTTGTTACATTAAGGAGATAAAAGTTCTGAAGAGATGTTGATTGTGCTTCCAGAGGACCAGGTTCAGTTCCCAGCACTCATAAGGTAGCTAAAAACTGTAACTCCAGTTGCAGAGGCCTCTCTGACCAATAGCTTATAGGGAGGTAGCCTGTGCCTAGCACTGAGATTTTCATTTTATAATGCATGTCTTCTGGGAGCAGCATTGTCCACCCATGCAGGATACAGACTTCTTTTATGTATTATATTTTAATTAGTTTATTGACTAGTGTTCCATAAGGCTTCTTCATATATCCTTAGTTTTGATTAACCCACCCCTACCCCTGATCTCCCCTATCCCCTTGCCCTCAACCGCACTTAAACCTTTAACCCAGAGTATTGCCCCCCAACACCAACCCCTGGTTCTTTCATGTCACCTGTGTTCTATTAGTCCCCTCTAATTATATTATTTTGCATGAGTTATAAGATCATAGGTTTCCATGTAGCCTTTTCATATGCACCTTGTCTTGATTAGCCCATCTTCACTCCCTCATTTACCTATCCCCTATCTTCTTCCATGTTTAACCCCCTCTAGTATTCACCTCTTTATTTTCATTTTGATATTTCCTCCCCCTTAATATGTCCACCCTGCAATGGCCAGTTTCTAAATACCTGGCTTCCATATGTGTTCCAAGTTAAGCATACAAAAAAATTCAAAGCTAAGATGCACATATGAGAGAACAAACTCAGTGTAATTTTTTTCCAATCCCATCCACTTACACTGAATTTCATGATTTCATTTTTCTTCAAAGCTAAGTAATATTCCATTGTGTGCATGTGCCACATTGTCCTTATTGATTCATCAGTTGATATATATCTTGGTTGATTCCATTTCCTTACTATTGTAAATTAAGCCACAGTTAATGAGGACAGGCAAGTATCTATGTGGTAGGATATAAAGTCCTTTGAGTATATGCCCAGGAGTGGTATAGGTGGGTCATATGGTAGCTCTATTTCTAGTTTTTTGAGAAACTTTCAGACTGATTTCCAAAGTGGCTCCATTAGTTCACACTTCTAACACCAGTGTATATGAGTTACTCTTTCCACATCAGCATTTGTTGTCATTTGTATTCATGATCATAGTCATTCTGACCTGGATGAAATACGATCTTATAGTAGTTTTAATCTGAAATTTCCTTATACCCAAGCATTTCTGAACACATTTTAAATGCTTACTAGCCATTTGCATTTCTTTTTTTTAAGTACACATTAAAATAATTTTATTTTTAATATATCAGTTTTTTACAATTATAAATTCGGGATTTGTGCATGCTGATATGGTTATATTTTAATTTTTAATTTATTTTTATTGAATTTTTACAATTTTCATAAAATATAGTTTGGTGGTCTTTAGGTTCCTTCCACCTTCCCCCACTTCCCACCCCTGTCCAATTTAATGTGCTCTTTTTTATATATGGCCTACAGAGTCTGATATTTGTCCCCAAATGTCCTTCAGCATAGATCCACCCACTGGGCCCACCAAGAGTTCTACCCAAGACACTGTCTTTCTCCCTCCCAGCAGACATCAATTGTCAAAAGTTCCTTAGGCTGGGTTGAGATTTCTTACCTACTTACCCATATCTATACTGGGATTTTGTCAGGTTTGAGCTCGCATAGAACTTGTGCATGCTGTCACATTGCTGTGAGTTCATATGTGTAACTGACCAGCTGTTTGGAAGATGCTTTTTCCTTATCCTCTGGCTCTTACCATTTTTCTACCTCCTCTTCAACAATGACCCCTGAGCCTTGGGAGGCAGAAGTTTGAAATAGGTGTCTAATCAGGGATAAGCATTCTGTGGCCTCTTGTTCTCTGTACATTGACCAATTGTGGGTTTCTGTGTTCATCACTGTCTGCTGTATAAGGAAACTTCTCTGGAGAGAGTTGAGAAATACATTCATCCTATGTGTAAAGGCTGCATTGAAGATGTGTCACTTAGGGTTAAGCATCTCACAGACACTTATTCTCTGCATTTGACCATGTGTGGAACTTTGTAATAGTTTCCATCTGTTAAAAAAAAAACAAAAAACAAACAAAAATTCTTTGATGAATGATGAAAAATATATTAGTTGTTGGTCAGGTTACTCCAAAAGACTCCCAAATAACACAGACTATTGCCATAGCCTTTTATTGTCTCCCAAAATTTGAAGGAAAGACCCTATTACTGAAGAGAGGACATACTTTGGACACAAGACTTGGAGCAATGGAGCTAGAACTGAGCTGGAAACCTCCTCCCTGACGACTAGCTCTCATGGTATCAGAGGATACTATGCAAGTTGCCATGGAAAAAAAACAATGATTTAAGGGATGGAAGAAATTAGAAAACTTTAGAAGAAAACAAATTATCAAATCTAAGGAGAAATAATAGAAAGAAATGAAGATAAGTGAAAAGAGATTGGGGCACTTGTGGAAGACAATGTCTGATTATTGAAGTCTCAAAGAAGAGAGAATAAAGAACAAGTGTTTAAAGAAATACTAGCTGATGTGCAATTTCAGCCACCTGATATTGACAAAGGTGCCAAGAACACACAATGGAGGAAAGACAGCATCTTCAACAAATGGTGCTGGCAAAACTGAATCTCCACCTGTAGAAGAATGAAACTAGATCCTTGTTTTTCACCTTCTACAAAAGTCAACACCAAATGGATGAAAGACCTTAATGTGAAACTGGAAACCCTGAAACTATTAGAAGAAAATGTTGGCAGTAATCTACAAGATATAGATGTAGGAAGGGATTTTCTATATCAGACAGAAGTTGCTCAGGAATTAAGGTCAACAATCAACAAATGGAACCTCATTTAACTAAAAAGCTTCTATACAGCAAAAGAAACAATCAAAAAAGTGAAGAGAAAACCCACAGAGTGGGAAAAAATCTTCACCAGTGACACATCTGACAGAGGTTTTACATCTAGAATATATAAAGAACTCAAAAAACAAAGAAGCGAGAAAGCAAACAACCCAATTAAAAGATGGGCTAAAGATCTAAACAGAGTTTTCAACGGAAGTAATAAAGATGGCTAAGAAACATACTTAAAAGTGTTCAACATTGTTAGTAATTAGGGAAATGCAAATTAAAACTATCCTAAGGTTTCACCTTATCCTAATCAGACTGGCTAGGATCAAGAAAACATATGATATCAGATGCTGGCGAGGATGTGGAGAAAGGGGAATACTCATTCACTGCTGGTGGGATTGCAAATTAGTGGAACCCCTATGGAAAACAGTGTGGAGAACAGTTAAAAAACTAAAAATGAACCTACCATATGACCCAGTTTTACCACTTCTTGGCATATACCCAAAAGACTCATCCTATTATAGAAACACTTGTACAACCATATTTTTGCTGCTCTTTTCACAATAGCTAAGAAATGGAAGCAATCTAAGTTCCCCTCAACTGTTGAATGTTTAACAAAAATGTGCTACATTTACACAATTGAGTTCTATTCAGCAGTAAAGAAAGATGAAATAATGAAACTTGGAGGTAAATGGATGG